AACCAGTTATTTTAAAAAGTCTAATTTTTTAATAATAATACGTAATAGAACAGGGTGAAACCTGAGTTGCGAGCTACGTAGTGAATATACATTGGGCAGGGTTAGAGTGAAATCCTTGGTTTATGTTTTTTTATATTATATAAAAATGGATTTTACTAGTTTCACCCTGTCATATAATAATAATAATAAATGCAACAGGGTGAAACCTGGGTATTTATTACAGTTCTTGGCAAGCTTGGCAAAAAAAAAGTGTAAATGATATAATGTGAAATCACAGGAAAACCTGGTCGATTTTCCATTTTCAGATTTTCAGATATACATACATATTACCGATCAGCTATCTAGAACTTTGAACATCACGAAAAATCGCGAGAGCAATAGTAATCATACAATTTATCTAATATGAATCGAATGATACCAAAGTTAATAATTGATAACGATAATTATTTTGATCTAAGATACAGCTAGCTTTATGCTGCATGATGATGTAAATAATGTTTTTGTCAGCAAAAAAAAAAAAAGTGTATATGTAGATATATGCATGTTACCTAAATTGCTGCGTCACGTTTTTTTATGTGGCATAGTAAATTCTTACTATACTAATGCTGATTGTATATAAACTATTGTTTTTGTATTCCAAATAGGAAAAAGATCAATAGATTGAATAGTGTTTGTTTACATTGAATGTTTTTTTTTGACGAATTAATAATTCTTAAATGGACAATGCGTGTATAATGTGCTTTATAATCTAATCTACGTATGTTCTAATTTACGTCAATAATTTGTTTTAGGAAGTGGGAACAAAATGGAGGCATTCCCGGTAACCAACTTGCTGTCACAGTTTTAAGATACAATCAAATTTATATAGGTTCATTTATAGTAAAAGAATTCTTCGAAATTACGTAAATCATGGACTTACCTAATGGAGATCCTAGATAATAAAAAGAAATAGCTTTTATTTGAAACCTAATTTAGGATTTTATTATAGTTGTATGCGTAAACAAATATAAAAGGCAAAATTTTAACTGATCTCACTACTAAAAACAATGTCTCGACCTTCAACCATCGAAATTCAGTCCATTCGTGATGGTAAAGCTTCAATAGAACACCAGATAGATATTCATGGTAAAAATTAATACATTATAATAATGTTTGATTTTTTAGATGTTTAAGTAATTATTATTTAAAATTATAGTCAACGATCTTTTTGGTGTTAAAGAAAGTCGTCAATTGTTATCTCTTGCAAATGTGTTAGATGGAATACAATATGTTATGAACTATCGCCTTAAAGGCGGTAGACTTCCAAACTTGGATTTTGAAATAATGAAACGTTTATGTGAAGGACTATTATTAAATATGTCCTATATGGAGGGTGGATTGCTAAAACGAAAGATGACTTTGGAGGCTAATAGAGCTTTCATCCTCTTTGGAGAATTTATGGAAGAAGGTGATTAATCTATCTATTAATCTATCTATTAATCTATCTATTAATCTATCTATTAATCTATCTATTAATCTATCTATTAATCTATCTGATTATATTTATTGGCTAAAATCATTTCTAAATCATTATTTATTAGTGGAAGAATTTCGTCAAGCTGTTCGCGAAAAAAATGTTTCCGATCTTTATCATGCTCTTAAACTTCATCGTCGATGTAAAGATGTTGATCCAACAGTCAAACAATCTGCAGTTGCCATAATATACATGTTAACGAATTGGTTTCCACAGTTTTCGGATTGGCGTGAATTGGTAAAAGAGGAAGAACAAGGTGATGTTGAAAAATTGATCAAGGAGTTCACCGATGTAATTAAGAAACCTAGAATGCCATCACTTCATGGCGTTGCATTACCTCCTCCATGTAAGTTATGTTAATTCATCTTTTATTATTTATATATAACTTTCTTGAATATGTTTGTCATATATTTTTTTTAGCCTTATATTTTGATCGTGATGTGACTCGAGTA